CGCGTCCGTGGACAGGGTCAGGAGCGCTACTTCCTACTGGTGGTTGACGACTACTCGCGTTACACCACAGTCTTCCCCTTGCGCAGCAAGGGTGAGGTCACTGAGGTGTTGATCGACTGGATCCGCGCAGCTCGTCTCCAGCTTCGGAGGAGCTTTGGCTCTGACTTCCCTGTTTTGCGTCTGCACTCGGACAGAGGCGGAGAGTTCTCCTCTGGCCTCCTGAGTGCCTACTGTCGTGCGCGAGGCATCCGTCAGACCTTCACGCTTCCGGACTCACCACAGCAGAATGGGATTGCTGAGCGCCGCATTGGCATGGTCATGGACGTCGCTCGTACTTCCATAATGCATGCGGCTGCTCCCCATTTTCTGTGGCCGTTTGCGGTCAGTTACGCTGCGCACCAGATCAACCTCCACCCCAGGGTCTCTCGACCGGAGACCTCCCCAGCCCTGCTGTGGACGGGGAAGGTTGGCGATGCGTCGGCGTTCCGGGTCTGGGGATCTCGGGCGTTTGTTCGCGACCTGTCTGCGGACAAGCTGTCCCCTCGTGCTTCTCCCTGCGTCTTCCTGGGGTTCCCCCTCGACGCCCCTGGGTGGCAGTTTTACCACCCCTCCTCTCGACGTGTTCTGTCCTCCCAGGACGTCACGTTCGACGAGTCGGTACCCTACTACCGCCTCTTCCCCTACCGCACTCCGTCCCTCCCCCCACCCCCGCTCTTCTTGGTACCAGGTCCCCCCCCGGTAGTCCCCCTCCCCCCTCAGGGTCCTGCCCCTTCAGGTGTGTCCCAGGTAGACGCGGTCGAGCCTGTCGAGGTCACTGGTGACTCTGGTGCTGCTGCGGGAGCTGAGCCTGGGGGTGCGGAGTCTGGAAGTGCTGAGCCTGGAGGTGCCGAGTCTGGGGGTGCTGAGCCTGGGGGTGCTGAGCCTGGAGGTGCTGTGCCTGGGGGTGCTGAGCCTGGAGGTGCCGAGTCTGGGGGTGCTGTGCCTGGGGGTGCTGAGCCTGGAGGTGCTGAGCCTGGGGGTGCTGAGCTTGGGGGTGCTGAGCCTGGGGGTGCTGTGCCTGGGGGTGCTGTGTCTAGGGGTGCTGAGCCTGGAGGTGCTGTGCCTGGGGGTGCTTCGCCTCGCCTGGAGCCACTCTCCCCACAGGAGCTGCGTGAGTGGTTTGCCAGGCGCTGGAGGCGTGCTGCTGGTGCTGGTGGTTCTTCGGCTGCAGAGGGTACTACTGCTGCGCGCCCCGCCGGTGCTCGTACTGTGGGTGCTGGAGCTGCTGAGTCTGAGAGTTCTTCTGGAGCTGGTCCTGCTGAGGGTGTTGGCGCTGAGCCTACCGTTGGCGGTCCGACTGACAGTGCTCCTGGTGCTGCGGCTGGAGGTTCTGGAGCTTCTGGTGGTGCTGCTGGAGGTGCTGCTGGAGTGGGTGCACCTGCCGGGGCTGCTGGTGCTGTTCCTGCTGTTTCTAGCGTCGCCGCGCGGCCCCGACCGTACTTCGTTCCGCTCCTGCAGCAGGTTCTTGGTCTTACACCTCCTCCTCCTCCCTTAGAGGGCCCGCAGCCTGTCCGGTCACAGCCACAGCTACAGCCTGCCTCCCCTTTGCCTGCTCCTTCTCCCTACGCTGGTCCGACTGGAGGTCTTACTGAGCGTCGTGAGCCTGCGTCTCGTCCTGTGTCGCCTGTTCGTACTGAGCGCGCTAGTGGTCGCGGGTCGCGTCAGCGTCCTCCTCCTGTCCCTGGCACGCACCAGATGTCACTGCGTCCGTCCACTGCTCCTCTGCGTGCCCCTTTGCCTTCTCCTCCTGCTTCCTCTCTTCCTGCTCTTGCCGACCCGGAGTCGGACTCTCTTCGTGCTGCCAGTCCTACTGTCACGCGTCTCCAGGCTACTGCTGTCACTGACCCCTCCTTCGAGTCGTCTGCTGCGTCTGCCCTTGTCACTGAGCTTGTCGACTTTGCTGCGCGCTGTCGTCTAGACTACGCTGCTCGTCTTGTCGCTGAGTCTGAGTCCGCCTGTCCTCCGTCCGTCGGGGGTGAGTGTGCCCTTGGCACGGACGTCCTTGAGGACAGGCAGGAGGAGTTCCAGTGTCTGGCCGCCGCTTCACCTCGTCTCGCGTCTGTACTGCTAGCCCCTGAGGGAGACCCGGATGCACCAGACATCCCGACTCCGCGCTCTTACGCGGAGGCGATAGAGGGTCCCTACTCCTCTCAGTGGCAGGCAGCTATGGATGCAGAGATGGCTTCCTGGAAGTCCACAGGCACCTACGTTGACGCTGTTCCCCCTCCTGGGGCGAACATCGTCAGTGGCATGTGGATTTTCAGGGTGAAGCGGCCGCCGGGTTCTCCGCCTGTCTTCAAGGCGCGTTACGTGGCTCGTGGCTTCAGTCAGCGGCAGGGGGTTGACTACTTTCAGACCTTCTCCCCCACCCCGAAGATGACCACTCTTCGGGTTCTGCTGCACGTTGCTGCTCACCGTGACTACGAGCTCCACTCTCTCGACTTCAGCACAGCTTTCTTGCAGGGCAGCCTGCACGAGGAGATCTGGCTGCGTCGCCCACCTGGCTTCACTGGGTCTTTCCCTCCTGGTACCCAGTGGAGTCTCCGGCGTCCAGTCTACGGTCTCCGCCAGGCGCCACGTGAGTGGCACGACACACTGAGGACTACGCTCGCGGCACTTGGGTTTGCTCCTTCCACTGCCGACCCGTCGCTGTTTCTGCGCACCGACACCTCTCTGCCGCCGTTCTACATCCTCGTGTACGTCGACGACTTGGTCTTTGCCACAGCTGACACTGCTGGACTCGCCTACGTGAAGTCCGAGCTGCAGAAGAGACACACGTGCACTGACCTGGGTGAACTGCGCAGCTACCTTGGCTTGCAGATCACCCGGGACAGAGCACGCCGCACCATTACCCTGACTCAGTCACACATGGTGCAGCAGGTCCTTCAGCGCTTCGGCTTCACGTACTCCTCGCCTCAGGCCACTCCTCTGCCTACTCGCCACTCGCTCTCAGCTCTGCCTTCGGATGAGTCCGTAGAGTCGAGTGGCCCGTTTGCAGAGCTTGTTGGCTGCCTCATGTACCTGATGACCTGCACACGACCTGACCTCGCATACCCTCTTAGCATTCTCGCACGCTTTGTTGCTCCTGGGAGACACCGACCAGAGCACATGGCTGCAGCGAAGAGGGTGTTGCGCTACTTGTGCAGTACGTCGGGCATGGGGCTAGTGCTTGGAGGGCGCAGTCCAGTGGTCCTCACTGGGCACGCAGACGCTTCTTGGGCTGACGACCAGGCTACGCAGCGGTCGTCACAGGGTTACACCTTCAGCCTTGGTTCCGGCTCTGTCTCGTGGCGGGCTACCCGCTCGTCTTCTGTTCTCGGCTCCAGTTGTGAGGCTGAGATCTACGCTGGGGCTATGGCTGCACAGGAGTTACGCTGGCTCACCTACCTGCTGACCGACCTTGGAGAGCAGCCTCGTTCTCCTCCAGTCCTGTACGTAGACAACAAGGCCATGCTGGCCTTGTGTCGAGAGCAGCGACTGGAGCACAGAACGAAGCACATTGCTCTTCGCTACTTTCTTGCTCGTGAGCTACAGCAGCGTGGACAGCTGCGACTTGCGTACGTGGCCTCTGAGGCCAACACTGCTGATGTCTTCACCAAGGCACTTGCGCCTTGTGATCATCAGCGTTGCTGCACGCAGTTGGGTCTTGTGCCTGTCTTGCCTCACTTGCTCTCCTCTTGACCTTGCTTGTACCTTCGCATATATATACTCTTGCTCTTGCTTGCTTGACTCTTGTATACCTCTATATATGATCTTGCATGTGAACTGGCCTTGTGGCCTTTGAACTTGTGCTCGGAATGCGTGGTGACTTTGTGATCCACCCTGAGCTTTGCTTTGCTTTGCTTGACTGGTCTTGTGACCCCTTGTTCTCCCCCACTTTGCCTATGGGGGTGTGTCAGAACATATAGCTTACTTGTTTGTGTAGGCTATAGTGGGGTATCCCATAGGGGGTACAACACATTAGGGTTTCCTATTTGTATTCACTTCACTTCATAGTCATTCATCCTCGTTCTCTGTTTTCACAGTCCCAGCTGTTGAAGCGTGTGTTGCTTACGTCCTGGCACTCCACTGCCATCTCGGAAGTGGGCATATCGAAACGAAACTTCCAGGAAACTTCGTTTCGATAAGCTCGCAGAGTGCACACCCGACACAAGTCTGAGGCTCAGCCTACACCCCTAAAAATTGGCTGAAATTTCAGCGGTTACAATAAAAAAAACTCTGAAAAATCAGAGAAGGTACATAAAAAAAAAACTTTCAGTTCAGACCAGGTACAAAAAAAAAAGTCTGAATGGACGCTGAATCAGCGTAAAAAGTCTGATATCTAGGGCACTGCTACATGAGCTACCCCACTAAAGCCTAAACCTATAAATAATATATAGTTTGACAGTTCGGTGCGACGAAATATGCCCAACAGGTTCGTCGCGTGACCCTCGGGATGGCCTCGCTAACGAGTGCCTCAATAAGGATTTGTAAATCCTTACACTAGTGCAAGGTGATTCAACTAGTTCACTACAACACTTCCGCAATTACATCATCACTTCGAGTCTTAGAGCGTGTTCCTACGGGCCCCTATCAGGCCAGCCCCTTGTCAGACTCGCCTCAAACACCAGAATTTAGGATTAAACGCATTTTGTATGAGACGTTTTGATCGTTTGTGAAGTGCGCGACAAAATGCGTTGGGTGACGTGGCACTGCGCAACGGCCCCGAAAGGTTGCAAAGGAAAAAAAAATCCGAGTTCAGACAGATTCCAGGCGATCGTGACGTGTGTTTGGCGGAAAAGTCTTTGTATGTTTCATACCCGACAAAACAGCATGTGTGAAGAATTTCACACGATTCCCTGACCATGGCTCGCTGAAACAGCACCTATCGAAAGATTTCGCGCGATTGCCTGACAAGGGTCACTGAACAGCACGTGTCAAAGATTTCGCTCGACCAATTCATCGAACAACATTGTAATTTTTCAAGTCTGGAAAACGGTGTTAATAACGAAATCGCTCGCATCGCATGCACCAGCCTGACAAGGAGTTAGCCTGATAGGGGTCCGTAGGAACACGCTCTTAGCCTTGAAACGATCCAAAAGGGCTTTTCTCAGCCCAGCGATAGGATTACTGAAGCACATGCCACAATAAATTTCTAAATTATACAATCAATCTTGTTTATTGGAGTCCATATTCTAGACACAGACCTATAACTAGAATGTCTGTGAAGGAAAAGCCGGCGGTTTATTACCCGGCTTTATTATCCCCTGTCCCAGCATCTGCTGGAGCTGCTGCTGCTGCTGCTGCTGCTGCAACCGCAACAACATAGAATTACCCATCAAATCTCCATCGCTTCTCTTACTCCCGCCCATGCCATCATCAAAACCACTGCCACCAATGCTCCTCATGCCATTCACAACCCCCCGATACACACTTCCTTCTTCTGCACTCCTGGCCCTCCTCTCACTCGCCTGGCTTGAGCAAATCCCTCTCCCTTCGAACGAATCACCACTTGACATGTGTACCTGCCCACTGTAGCTGTGACCATGCTGGTGCTGCCGTTGCTGCTGGCTTTGCTGCTGCTGCTGCTGGAAAACCCCCTCTCCGTTCACACTGGCACAAGTGCTTGTGCTCATAGTCCTGGCTATACTCTTTACAGAAGCACCCATTACAACATCTTCAAGCGCTCCCGACACTCCCCATTCCCCTGCTTCCTCCATCAAAGCATCTCCCCCGTTCTTCGCGCGCGAGATGGACGGTCCAGATGCTACCCCAGCTGCCACGTGTCCTAATCCTACAGCAGAGGGAATTGGTGGTACAGGACACTTTGATATCCCTTGAATCTGCAGTTGCCGTTGCTGCTCCCCTTGCTGCTGCAATTGTTGCTGCCCTTGCTGCTGCCCTTGCTGCTGCTGCAATTGCTGCTGCCCTTGTTGCTGCTGCCCTTGTTGCTGCTGCCCTTGTTGCTGTTGCCCTTGTTGCTGCTGCCCTTGTTGCTGCTGCCCTTGTTGCTGCTGCCCTTGCTGCTGCTGCCATTGCTGCTGCCCTTGTCGTTGCTGCCATTGCTGCCGCAGCACCTGGTACAACTGTTGCATCTGCTGCCCCTGCTGCCCCTGCCCCTGCCCCTGCCCCTGATGCCCCTGCTGCCCCTGCCCCTGCCCATGCTGCCCCTGCCCGTGCCCGTGCTGCCCCTGCCCGTGCCCGTGCTGCCCCTGCCCCTGCTCGTGCTGCCCCTGCCCCAACAGTTGCTGCAGCAGAAGCACTGCTCCCCTCTGTTGAAGAGCCCTTGCCACACTCACTGCATCCCCAGAAGCACCAGCAGCAGCAGGAGAAGGAGAGGCAGCAGCAGCGGTGGCAAACGAGGGCGAGGAGGAAGCAGAGGCAAGCAGAGAGGCAAGCACCGCTGTGTTGATTTCCATACCAGACCTTCCAGGAGAACCCTGCGGCAGGCTCGACACCTGGGGCACCTGACCAAGCACCTGAGGGGCCTGAAGCGCCGCATGGGCCACCTGAGAAAACACCTGAGCTGCATTGGCCTTGATTTGAGGCGGAATGGGAGCATTGGCGACATTGATGAAGGTATTTACCCCAGCAGTATTATTGGTAGTGTTACTATTATTAGCAGCTGGAGTAGCAGGTGCAGAAGTGGCCGAAGCAGCAGGAGCAGTAGCAGCAGACGTACAGAGCCCTGCAAACCCCCCGAATGGGAGCTTCACCTGTAATTGTTGCTGCTGCTGCTGCTGCTGCTGCTGCGGCTGTTGCAGCTGCTGTGGCTGCCGCCGCTGCTGCTGCTGCTGCTGCTGCTGCTGCTGCTGCTGCTGCTGCTGCTGCTGCTGCTGCTGCTGCTGCTGCTGCTGCTGCTGCTGCTGCTGCTGCTGCTGCTGCTGCTGTTGCGGCTGCTGTTGCTGCTGCTGCTGTTGCTGCTGCTGTTGCGGCTGCTGCTGCTGCTGCTGCAGTGTGGGTGCATGTTCCTGTCCCTGTGCCTGTGCTTGGGCGTGTACCTGTGCCTGGATTCGTGCCTGCGCCAGCATTTGTGCCTGCAGCTGCTGCAACAGGCCCAGAGAAACCGCCACTTGTTGCTGCTGACTTTCCTGATCCTGCTGCATTTTTTGCACCCCTGTCACTCCCACACAAGAAGCTTCACCAGCAGCCGAACCTGCCCCCAAACCTGCTTCCGAACCTGCCGACGAAGCTGCCGCCGATGCAGCCGACGAGGCTGCTGCCGAGGCTGCGATGACTGAGACAAGAGCAGCGGGCGGTACACCTGAGTCTGTAGTGGCAGCAGCGGTGAGGGCTCTGAGTAGCAGTTGCTGCTTGGGGTTGTTTGCAGGGTTACTCAGCATCTGCCTCTGCTGCAGCAGCCGATTCAACGCCACTGCTGCTGCCACTTGTTGATTCACGCCTGCTGCGCCCCTCTTTCCCCCAATTAAGCCTGCTGCTGCTGCTGCTGCTGCTGGTGCTGCTGCTGCTGCTGCTGGTGCTGCTGGTGCTGCTGCTAGTGCTGCTGGTGCTGCTGCTAGTGCTGCTGCTGGTGCTGCCGTTGCTGCTTCTCCTCTTTCCCCCATCACCGCTCCTCCCTCCCCAACCGCCTCTCCTCTATCCCGCCCCCTCCCACCTCCGGAAGAGGGAGCAGCGCGGAGCAGCGGCTGTGGGGGGAGGAAGGGGGGAAGCTTGAGGAGCGGACTGGGGAAGGTTGAGGGGGAGGAAGCGCGGATCAATGGGGGGGTTCCGGGCGTGGAGGGGGGAGGTTGTGAGGAAGCAGGAAACATGGCAGCAGGAGCAGCAGAAGCAACAGAAGCTGGGTCAACGTCACTCGCAGAAACATTCGTTATAGCCTCGCAGCGTGCATCAGAAGGGTTAGCTGTGTCGCTCAGGCCTTCCTTTGCTGCACAACCTGACGAGTCTTCACACAGTGTGACTACATCGAAGGGTGCATCCAACGGGAGATCTGCAAACAAATCTTCCGGAAGATCTGGGAGGAAATCTGCGGACGAAATTCCCGAGATCTCGTCCAGATTCGCCTCCGACATGACGATCGGCAGATCTAGACCCTCCATTTGCGTCAGATCGAACGTATCCAGCTCGTCCGGCTCTCCCACATCGTCCATCCTTTCGTTATTAGCCCCATCCGCAGCTCTCTCCTCCCCTCCTGTAACGGATCCACAAAAAATCCCCGTTTTAGTCACATCTTCGCAGTGTTCAACATCCACCATTGTCCCGTCCGTTACAAGAACACCTTTCGAACCTCCCTCCTCAAACCCATTCACCAGATTCGCTAAATCCGCATCCGCTTTTTCCAATAACGCAGGCATTTCTTCCACTTCGCCCCCGCTTTTATCACCACCGGCCAAAACCATTCCGTTATTGTCACCAGCCAACCCGTCGCGATCCGCCCCGACTCCTCCGCCACCATAACTAGTGCAATAGCTTTGCCCCTTTGAAGGGCAGTTCGGTATAATTCTTCCTGCCCGCCCCTCCATTCCCTGGCTTCCGCTCCAGTTTCCAGCCTCGGCGACTGTGCTTGTATCGAGGGCAGCACAAGTCGCGTGAAGAGCCGCCGGCGCGGCTCCCGCTGCTGGAGGTTTCCCGAGTTCTCGCAAAGGAGAAATAACCGTCGCCGTCAGATCTGACGGCCGCTTCAAGCCCGCAAACCTGCTACCCGTTTCCATCTGATTGCCGCTGTTTCCGCGTTGTAGCAACGGCGCGACAGGAGCTGCGGGCGGCGCGAGCGGAGGCAGCGTGATATCACGAGCGTAAACGGCGGAGGTCTGAGCGCCGTTGCGGCAGGGCGCGGTGCGGCAGAAGGACGAGGCGGCGCCGCCGCCGAAGACGTCTGCGGAAGCGGAAACGGAAGCCGGAGGAGACGCGGAGCGGCGCGGAGCGGAGGGGGCGGGGGCGGAGGCGGCAGGAGCAGACGCGTTGCGCGGAAATTGATTTGCCGCGGCAGCAGCTGAATCCTCTCCGCGCGCTTGCGCGAAGATCTCTGGCGGAGGGGGGTGTGGCAGTAGTAACAGCTCCGAAGGATAGTCGGCGGGAAACATGATGTTAGCGTGGATGCTATTTCTATCAGCGGACCAATCATGAGCGAGCATCTGCGGCCTCTCCCTCTCCGCCCCAACGGTGGAGCATCGGCGGAGCGCGGAAGCGGCGGAAACGGCGGAATCTGCCGCGAATGGGCTGTTGGAGGGGGAGTCCAGTGCGCTGAAACTGCCAAAATTTCCTGCAGACATCCCGGAAAACGCGGCAGAAGTTCTGTTGAATACGGGAGATGCGGAGGGGCTGAGGTGGCCCGGCGTAGACCCGCCGCCGCCGCCGCCGCGAGAGGCGCTTCCGCGAATCGACGAACCCGCCGTGTTTGCGCGCTGTAAGTGCCGCGAGCGGCCCGCGAGACCCGCCGCGCCGGCTGCGGGGGAGCGTCGAAATGTTGGCGGGAGCGGAGCGCAGAGGCCTTGCGCGAACTGTAGAGGGGCGTTTCCGTTTCCCCCCATAGAAAAGTCATTGGCGGGGGAGGGCGGCTGCGCGAGTGTGTGCGCGGGGCCCTGCGCGGAGGAATGAGCAGGGACTTGCGGGGGGGCGTAAGAGGAGGAGTGAGCGGGGGATTGCGCGGGAAGGGTAAGAGAGGAACCGCGGAGCGCGCGGGATGCGGAGGGTAATCGCGGGGGAAGCGGGCACAGCAAGTGATTCTGCGACGTGGAGGAATGCGACGCTGCGCCTGCTGCTACTGTTGGCCCATGATTGCGTGCTCCTGCGTGCTGCGCGGCGCGCGCTTCGGGCTTTTCCTGGAGATGCGGCGGTGTCGGCGGAAGCGGCGGCGGTGATATCAGAGCGGCGCGAGGGTCGTGCAAGGGCGGCGGCGGCGGCGGAAGTAGATCGGGGCGCAACCGCTTGTACGACATCATGTCGAGCATCTCCATTGCGATAGTATCACAGCTCGATAGTATCACGGTCACTACTCAGTATATCACCCTTCAGCGGCTCGAATCGCTTGCACTAAGCTGGTCTAAGAGTCTCCCCAACAGCGATTCCGCACGCGACATTAACTCGTGCTCGAAGTCGTAAGAGCGGCTTCACTTAGTTCCGAAAATGCATTTCCAGTATGACGGAGACTCCGCTTGACAACGCGCTGCGTAATCTTTGACCAATGCAATGGTCTAGTTCACTTGGGGAAGGTTCCTGCGTGATACTTAGAAAATACTCTCACTCCCACGTGGCACGTCCACGGATCGTTCTCCTCGCTCGCCTCACCGCAGATGACAAAAATGGAAGGTGGCGAAATGCAATGAAAGAAATGAAAAACGCGAGCAGGGTGACATGACGTGTGTCCTTGCATGGCGGTGAGCTTCGGCCAATGTACGATTGTGTAACGTGTGAGAAAAAAACATCACTCGCCCTCCCCATTTCCCGCTTATCCAGAGGAATAAGAAGGTACATCCCTTCTGTCCCAGTTTCGTTCCAGTTCGAGATGCCATATCGTCATGTCATGCACTATGCCTATCTTGCTCTTTGATATTCTCAAGCTGGCCAACGCGTCGTGCAAGCTCATGCACTGTGCATCAAGCTCTTTGCAGAGTGGCAATGATGCAGTCGTGGGTGGTACGAACGACGCAGGCGCCGACAGGCGATCCCAGCAGCCAGCCTGCGCTAGTTCACCATAGGAGCTGTCTCGTGAATACAGAAAGGTGGTGCTGAGCGGCGTTTAGCTAAATCCAGCATTTCGAACCAGATTCACACGGCGATTGTGGGACTGCCCGTGAAATAGAGAATCCAAAGCGGGATCCTTCTCTCTGCTCACACGGTTTCACCCCCTTGGCTCCCTCTGGGATGCTGGGTGGCATTCATTTTTCGATCCAATCTGGTTCACTCGTTCGTGAAGTCCCTTTTCGCCAGCTTACAAGCCAGGAATTGTACACCCCGCTTGTAAGCTGGCGAAAAGTCTAGCATTGCAATTCACCCCGCTCCAGATGATAGCATCGCAATTCACCCCGCTCCAGATGATATTCCCAGGCTGTCAAGAAGTGGAGAGGAGACGGTCAGTTCAAGGAGGACAGACCAGGCACAGCTCGGACTGCAAAACAAAATATCTTCGAGCTTTTACCCCGGAAAAACAGTGTCGTCCGACCACACTCCAAACAGTATTTCCGTCATTCACCAACATCCAGGATCACAAGCTGGCGGATGTCCCCCGAATTCTTTTGGAGGTCAACCAGCCCCGCATGTTGTTGGCGAACTCCGTGCTGCTTGTGTGTGACTGTCTGCGAGAATGCAAGTGTGTGAATTGTTGATCAGATTTGTGCTGTACGTGTGGTGTACGTAGGAGGGAACAGAAACAGAACAGATGGGAAAAAGTGGGAGGAAGTGGAAATGGAGTTTCACGTCATCCAGTCGTTTGTGTCGTGTGTCTCTGTGCTGTTTGGGGCTATTCCAACACACTTGTTGGACATCTCTCAAGCAAGTGTATTTACAGCTGTAGATAGTTTCTGACGAGCATTTTTGTGAAACTTGGCTCGAAGCCGCGAATCTACTACAGTTTTCGGATCCCGAGGCGTGACAGACGTGGAAAGGTTGAAAGGCCTGCCTCAGAAGTTTGACATGACAATGGCAAAGGCGCGTTTCAGAGCATGTATTCATAGATCGAGTGACATTTGCTCCTTGGGTAGTGTTGGGTGTGAATTTGGGGTAAACAACTGACAGCAAGTGAAATTCTTCAGGTTTTATTACCAGAAGTAGCGACCTTCGTGAGGGCCTCCTGTGAGGAAACCAATGGAGCAGCCTTGACTTTGGTCCAACTGCCCTCAAAGTGACTCTAGCTGCACTTCTACTCCCGCTCGACTGTTCCCGTGGTGGTGAATCTCAATCTGCGTTCTGCACTCCACAATTTTCGGGGCACAGTAAATCTATTGGATCATTCGCTGTTTGAGCCTCTCGCTACGCCCGACCCACGGCTCAACAAAACTCCTAGCAAATGGCAAATTTGGGGTTTTTAGCTACGCCAGAAGAGGTACTTTCGACCCTGCGCTTTCCACGGACCTTCATCTCTACCAAGGGTGTCGTGCCACTCATGAGGAGGCTTGAGGGTGCACAGGATGAAGGTCCGTGGAAAGCGCAGGGTTGAAAGTACCTCTTCTGGCGTAGCTAAAAACCCGCAAAATTGCTACGGGGAGTCTTGCTGCCTCGGCGAAAGGTGGTTCGTTTTTTTTTTTTTTTACATAAGCACACTACACGTATACATACATCCGCGGTCGTAACTGTTGCTAGGAGGGCATAAATAGGTCACAAGTAACCAAACCTCCCTTGTCCTTTTACGAAGGCTGGAAAGCTACACCACCATCTTCCCAGACCGCCTTAAAGCCTGCTCTCCACGTCATCGAAGTCTCGTTCTCGTAAAGCCTGCGCATAGCGATTGTCTCGTCAGCGTTCAAGTGGCCCCAGTCGCCCGCCCTTTTTTAGCCACTTCTGCCAGCCATCCTCTTCCGCAATCTGCTGTAGATCTTCACGTGTCCTGTGAAACCAACTGGAACCGTCTGCCTCGGAACTGCATTGCACCTCTCCAGCCACACTTGGTGCGCTGTGATGGAAATGATTGCAGCCTGCGAAAAGCCGGATGTCGTGCCGTTCTTTTGGAAGAGCATGTCCTCGATAGATCTCATGTCCCTGCCCGGGTTCATGCACTGCACCGCCTTTTTCATCGCCTCTCTCAGAATCCCAACCACTAGACCATTGGGATAAAAGGGCTTGTTTCAGTAGCGGGTCAGTGCGCCCATAACCCCCCAGGCAAATGTGCCTGTAACCCTTCCCTAGGATCGATCGGGGATCACCAGTGGACCTCTGACACCCCCCCGCACTGGGATGCCCGAAGTGCATACACCGGGATTCGAACCCGAGACCTTCGCTCTGGATACCATCTCAGAATCCCAACCACTAGACCATTGGGATAAAAGGGCTTGTTTCAGTAGCGGGTCAGTGCGCCCATAACCCCCCAGGCAAATGTGCCTGTAACCCTTCCCTAGGATCGATCGGGGATCACCAGTGGACCTCTGACAGCCTCCACCACTGGCTGAATCACCGGGCAGCTGAAAAGGCAGTGGTCTCACGATTCCACTCCGCCACAGTGCGTGCATTTTGCTCTTGCACCAAGGAAGGGGAGCCTCTTCCCCACTTGGAGGTTGTTACTGTGCACCCTCAATACATGGGGGTTGCCCTGCATGGGGTTGCCAGCGAATCACGGACCGTGATGGCTTTCCCCCAGTCGGTCTTTCTCCCCATCTCCTCTTCCCACTTCAGCTGTTGCTTTGGCTGCTCCACTAAGGGTTTCATTGCCTTCCTCAACTGCTTTAATCCAGCTTGCTCGCCTTTTTTGCAGATTGTGGAATAGAGAAGGTGCGTTCTTGGGGCCCCTAGCACACCCTGGACTCTCCCGTCTATGACCGCCATAAGGAAGCGCGCCGAAATTCAACTGTTACCACACTGGTGTATTCCATCGCCGATATGAAACCTTTTTTGTCCACCGCCACCCTCCGACCGTAAAGTTCGCCGTCGCTCACGTACTGCAGCTGGTAGTAGAAGAATTCTCCCGGGCGAAATGAGGCAGTGCGGACTAGTCTTGTTTCCCTGAAAATTCCCTGTGCCGACAGTTGTTTGAGTACCAGATCCTTCCACCCCTGCGGCGTCGCCTCCCACGCTTTCAGAGCCCTTATCCTCTGTTCCTCTCCACCCAACTCCCTCTCCAGGTCCTCTTCGCTCTTACGAGTCCTGCTGCCATCCCTTCCTTTAACCACCAAGTCCCCCAGCCGTATGCCCTTCAGACAGAGAGAACTTGCTTGGTTTCCGAAGGGTGACTTGCCTCTGAAGAAGATATTGCGATTGAAAAGTAACTGCTCCTCCTCTGCGTCCCACCTGTGAGCCGGATCACCTATGACCACGATTTTTGAGTCCCACAGCGCTTTCACTGCAGCCTTCCACCTCATGCCCCCCCCCAGCCAGTATTTCAGGATCGAAGGGTGCGCGTATATCGTGGCCAGACTGAGTGGGAACGCTGCTGCTCTCTCCCATAGCCAGATCCGAGGTGGTTCTTGCTCCGCCAGGGCTTTCCCCAAGCCTTGGATCACCGTGCTGTCGATTCAATGCTTCAGATCAATCACTCCCAGACCCCCATCTTTCCGTCCTCTGCACGACAACTCATAACTCCAGAGTGTGAAGTGCCTGTCGAGAAGCGCCTTTCCTCCAGAGATGA